AAAATAGCGATGCAGTAACCGAGTGACTAGATACTTTCTATTATTAAGCCAGTGATTATTCATTGCGATCGAGGGAACACTGTACCGTTCATTCTTCCATGAAAAAATCCTCCATTTTCGAGATCAATTACCAATTCCATTTAATACTGTCTTAAAAAAATTGTTGCTCCATGTCTGACATAATTATAGTTATATTTTAATGTAACCTTAAAAAAAATCGCTTCGTTATGCGACCAGTGGAAAAATGATCGAAAGACCGATTGAACATCGTGAAGCTTCTTTCTTCTGCGTTGAAAAGAAGAGAGGAATTTTTGTGAGATTGCTGTGCTAGTTATTTAACGATGGAAATTTCTTTTCTATTTGTGAATGCTATTGGAAAATTGCAGTAATTTTCTGGACTATGATTGGAACCGCATTGAATCGCTCGCTCGTATTTTATCTGGTTGGAACAAAAATTCTCCTGACGAAGTTAGGTTATGTTAACCCTTTAGTTACGTTGGCCGGGTCAATTTCGACCCCTCGCCATCTTATTTTTCAATAACTTTTGCTGTTATCAAGTTTACGTTCCCTTAACATTGTATTAAAAGTTTATTGTCTAGGTTCATATGGCGTGTTGCTAACAAAAACTGTTACACATAAGGTTTTTGGGTCTTTTTTGACCCAAAAATATGAAATGTACAGTTGACCGGAAGATTCATTGTTAATACACTGTCGTTATAAGAACAGGATATATTTGTTCAATAAAATCAGAAGTTAAATTGAATGTTTCAATAATTTCAGGTTTGCAGAAAAGTTAAGAATATGTATATCATTACAATTTTACCATTTAATTTTTAAGTACCCTGCACAATTATACACTTGAACGATCTATCAATTTTGCACATACCAAACAGTATTCTTAATCAACTCTTTAACAACAAAAAAAGGAAAACAATATTTTTACTTATTATACCAATAATAATAAAGGAATATTTTTAACTTAATATTTTAAGCGAACGAAATTAAAGTAAAAAAATTTTCTACCAGAGCGCGAGTTTCAGCAGAAGATGAAATGGAACGAAATGCTAATCCTTTCTCAACTCTTTAACAAAACGAAAGGAAAAAAATTACTAATAATAGTAATGAAGGAATGTTTTCAACTTGTCATTAATGAAGGATAATAAAACGATAAAACAACGAACGAAATTAAAATAAAAAATCATCTGTTAGGCCACGAGTCTTATTAAGAAGTTATCTGGAGCGAAATTAATTAACCCTTCAACGAAACAAAAGAAAAAAAATAACTAGTAATACTAAAGGAATATTTTAACTAATCATCGACGAAGGATATTAAAACAATAGAAACAAAATTAAACGACACTAAATGGTACGCTTAACCCTAGAACACTAAACGGAGAATAAAATGTCTCAAGAGAATTTTTTCAGGTATTACTTTTCCCTTTATATTTCCACTTTAAAAATATCATTAAATTCGATACACTTATCGATCAATTTTGAACTTCAAATAAACAATTTTTACAATTTTAATGTTAATAAAGTTACAAAAAAAAAAATTAACATTACCACACGTGTCACAAAAGAATTGATCTTAGTATTCCAAGGTTAATCAACCCTTTAACAAAACGAAGGGAAAAAAATGTGTAATAAAAACAAAGGAATATTTTCAAAGTTTCATCGATGAGGAGCAATTGAACGATAAAATAGTGAACGAAATTAAAATAAAAAATCGTCTGCTGGACCGCGTGTCTCATCGACAAGTGAAATGGAACGACATGCTTTCCCCGCGCACGTTTCGCCAGCATGCGTCAACGACAAGACGATCCACTTTTTCCATTCTACTGACTTTCGTTCGCCGATCCACGGCTTCAACGATCGATCGATCCTCTATCGATCGTAACTTGTCCACGAACTCACGGAAATTCTTACCCTTTTACAGCAGTCACCTCGCTGAATTATGCGAACGAAACTGGAAAGGATATAAAGGACACTTTAGACGGTGGATTATTCGCGATCTTCACAATGACATTTGTTTTTAATCATTATGTTTTCTCTTCTCTTTCGTTGTATTTTCATCTTCGGAATTTCTTTTCTTTTGCATTTTTCTGTTGGGTTACAATAGTGCAGTTTGTACGTTAACGTGTCGCATATACGTACACTCGGCCAGAAAAGTCTCCATGCATCTCATTAGAATTAGAATTAGAGAAAGTAACGAATAAATAATATTTACGTTATTTTAGCCGTTTAACGAGATAAACAAAATTTTCGTATAGTATCTAAGAATTCAGCAAAATGCCTAGAAACAGGGCTCCAAAGGCAAATAAAAGTTAGTTCCTCGTTTACGGGCAAGTAGAAAAGACGTTACACAAAATATTTTTCTCATAATGCACAAGCATCTGTTTATATTTAAATGTATTCGTTTAATTATTAACAAATTGATCTAAACTATTTTTCTATATTAATTATACTTTCAGTATATACTATTGTACCAATAGTAAATATTATGTTTCTAAATAAAGTAACGTATATATTATTTATTCGCTACATTTTCTGTTAAAATTACACAACGCGAAATAAATTCTAATGAGATGTACCAAGACCTTTTTGAGTGTATATTAGGAAATACATCGTATAATATGTTACACCTTACGCCATAAAATGGTAAAAATGGCAAATGACGACGAGCAAGAAGTTGTGTTTGAAAAGAATAAATTATAATCTATATTTAGAATACACAGTCTGAGATATTCTCTTCTTTATTAGTAACTGTTTATTCGATTGCAAATTTATTCCGTAATGGGATTTACGAAAAATGCCCGCGAACGTGTTAAAATGGTAATAGTGATAAATGATTACGAATCAGAGGTTGTTCAACTTAAGATTTGAATTGAAATGCAAATTCTTCGTTAATGTTGAAAAAGTGTCTCTCTATCTTAATGTGTTGTACTAAAAATAAGGAAATTTGAAGTGCTGACACTAAGTTGGAAATAGAAACTTACGTTAATTAACTGAGATTACGATTATTTAAAAATTGTATATTAAAAAATGGTTCGATGGAATATTGAAAAATTGTATCTACATTAGATGTTCCCTTAGAGACAAATTTGTGTATAAATCTAGGCCTCTTTTTTAGTCGTAATTTCAATTACACTAATTTCCATCGTGATAACGTTGCAAGACACATTGGAAATATTAAGCAAAACGAGAGAAAAAGATTCGCTAAAAATTAAATAATTAACGAGGGAAAAGTATACTGTAAAAATGATACGCAGAAATGAGGAAAAAAGAATTCATAAAGCTGTAACTAAGTTTTTTTCTTTTCCACAAATCTCTGAATCCTTGATGCACCTCTTAACGACATCCTGCATAATGTTGATTTCCTTGATGATCATACTCATGGATCCATGAATCTCCCCCTCTCTCGTCGTTACAACAACACAGTTGCTGATCCACACGTTCTCCATATACTTTCGAGATTTCAAAGATATAATAAATAACAAACAACATATCTCCATCATCATAATAATCAAAAGAAAATTTTCCTTCGATGGAGAAGCACGGTAATATTCATATTCATAAGGCACATTTCCCGAAGAAAGAAATGAGAAAAGAAAGGAAAAATTAAAATGTTAATTGCAATTAAGCGGGTATATAATATATGGTAGAGCGGAGAGAGAGTCGAATCGTAAATCGTTCGATCGATATTGGTCAGGTCGTGGTTGCCGGTCGTTCGAGCATGAAATCAAAGGAGATTCGTGCATTATCGGGCTTATGGGAACATGAAAATTGCAACGTCCAGCCAGGACTAATGAACGATGCGCGATTAATGTGCGTTTCGATGAAGGAAGTGCACGATCCACGCAGCCCCAATCCGTGTCACATTGCATTTCCGCTCCAGAAAGCTCGCGAATCGACGTTCGTTCTCTGCCAATTAACGATCCTTCCTTCTTTTTCAAACCATTTACTTGGTCGATACCCTTTGTCCGGTATTGCTCCAATTCTTTCCCCCCTTTTTTTTTTTTGTGTAATATTGACCGATGCACGTCTGAGAGGAGGTCGTTGAAGTATGGAGAAAGAGACATTCGCAAAATTTTTGGAAATTTTGATGAAAAAAATTACGCGGTTTGTCTCTGTGGAAAATTTGCATTGAAGAAGTACGATGAATAATTATGAAGGGAAATGAGGAGTAATTTAACGAGGATGTTGGAATACCAAGGTTTCTCTTTAATTTTAGTTGGAAAAAGTGGGATATGATGAGAAATGTTGAAGGGCCAATATTTGAAGAATGCATATTGAAGAGAATATATTGGGGAAAAAAGTGAAGGTAAATGTGTAAAAGAAGAATTTGTCAGAATTGAAGAGAGTATATTTCAAAGAAATATGTCGAAGAAGAAATTGATAGAACTGAAGAGGAAGAAACAGGTAAATTTGTAAAAGAAGAATTTAACGGTGAAGAAAATTGAAGAAACAGATCGAAGGACCATTTTATGGTACTGTGTTTTAGAAGTTCGTGCAAAGCTAGTAAATGAAAGTGTACCTATTCGTAATTGAATGTAACTGGAAAAAAAAACTGGAAATGTTTCGTAGTTACATGGAGAAAATGTGGAGTCCCATACAGGACAAGTGTCTCGCAATTGCGGAAGAAAAAAGTGGAAGAATTCAGGAAAAGTCCAAAGAGTCCAGTGGACACTTTAGTATCCCATACAGCACAAGTTAGTCGAAGAATGTAGAAGGAATATTTCACAATTCCATTAAGAAAAAACCTATGGCAACATATTCAACAAAAAATAAAATATCTGGCTCGCTAAACAACTTATCGCGAATCTTGAATCTTTTTTCAACGAAAATTTCTAAAATTTTCCAAAAATCAAAATGTAAGACGACAAAAAAATGAGCGAAAACTAAAAATTGGAATATAATAAATAAATGAAATAGAATAAATGAATAAAAAAATTCAAAAATGGAGTAGAATAAACGAATAAAAATGGTCACACTACAAATACCTTAAATTCGTCCATTCTTGCGTGTCCTCGAGTCAATTCAATCGATCCAGTCGATGATCCAGCTGATCCAGCGGCAAAAGATCCAGGAAGAAGGTGTCCAGTGAAAGCGAACAAAAGGGAACAGCAAGGAAGAAGGAGGAGGAGGAGAAGAAGAAGAAAAAGAAAAGGGGAAAAGAGAGAGATATATATGTAGATAGTTTAGTCAAATCCGCATGATAAACGCGTTACGAACGAAATCTACGAACGATCGATCGTTATTGAGATATCGAATGTGGATGATATTTGAGATTTTTTCGAGAAGCAGAGAGGAGACCTGCTCCTACGCACCTGTTGACTCCCGGAATATCTTCGCGAGACTGACGAAGGCGCTCAGTCAGCGGCTCCTCGTGTCTCCAACGAAGGACCGACACTTCTCTCCGACCTACTTCCCGCGTTCGCCTTCGCCTTCGCCTTCTTTCGTCGCGACGTTCAGCGTCTCCCGCCGGTTAATCGGAACATTTTCCGAACCGTCGACTCGATGGGAAGATATTGATAACGAGGATAGAACTGGAGGCTTTGAGATTTCAGATGGGAAGATTGGAAATTTGGAGATTTGAAAGCTTAGGAGTCTTTGATTTGGTTCGAGGTGTTGGATATTTTCAGGTTTGAAAGAGTTTGGAAACTATGGTTTGGGATCTTGAATATTTTGAGGTTTGAAAGTTCTGTGGTGCAGATATTTTCAGGTTTAAAAGTTTGGGAACTTTGGTTCGGAACGCAGATGACTTTGCGGTTTGAAAGTTTGAGACCTTTGGTTTGAGGTGTTGGATATTTTCTTTTGATAGCTCAGGATTTTTAATTCCCAGTGCAAACAATTTTTGAGATTTGATGGCTTCGGATTTTTGATTTCAGATGTTGGATATTTTGAGGTTAGAAAGTTTGAGACTTTTGGTTTGAGGTGTTGGATATTTTCTTTTGATAGCTCAGGATTTTTAATTCCCAGTGCAAAAAATTTTTGGGATTTGATGGCTTCGGATTTTTGATTTCAGATGTTGGATATTTTGAGGTTAGAAAGTTTGAGACTTTTAGTTTGAGGCGTTGGATACTTTGTGTTTTGATAGCTTAGGATTTTTAATTCCCAGTGCAACAAATTTTTGAGATTTGATGGCTTGGGAATTTTGGTTTCAGATGTTGGATACTTTGAGGTTAGAAAGCGTGAGATTTTTGTTTCGAAGTATAGGATATTTTGAGTTTTGAAAGCTTGAAATTTTTCATTCTCAGTTTTTAAATATTTTGTGATGTGAAAGCTTGGGGTTTTGGTTTGGTGTGTAAGATATTTTGAAATTTGAAAGCTTGAAATTTGAAAGAATGCGTAAAGAATTTCTACTTTCGTTTCTAAAACGAAAGGCAATCGACAATTGTCAAGCTAGGATGGTAAGATTCCAGTTCGCATTCCTCCTTCGATAACAGTCGATTTCTCTTGGTTTTGATGGTTCGAAAAACTACGAGGTTTAGAAGCGGATGATTTAGAAAATTTCTCTTGCTGCTAAATTAGCACTTCGCTTGAGGAAAAAATCTCAAATTTGAAATTCTAAAATCCAAGTTCTGAAAGTTTTCCAATTGTTAACTATTCTTTAACCATTTAAATTATTTAAACGATTGTTTTCAAATTGAAAAACTCTTAATCTCAAATTTATAATAGAAGCTCAAAATTTGAAATCACGTACGTTGAAGATATCAGAATCTAAAATTTCCTTGAACTCGTAAATTTAGAATTCGACATTCAGTCGCAATAAGATTTCAAAATGTCACGGTATGAATCTGAAAGTCTCAAGAACTGACAGTTGAAAGTTTGAAACTTCTGAGAAATTCGATCTTTAAAATTCAGAATCTCAAAATCTCAAGTCTCAGACTTCTAATTTCCAAATTCAACGTCTAAATGTATCTCTGTAAATTTGACTTGAAACAATGAACCACTTGTTCCGATACGTATTAAGGTCAGTAAAATGACGGCGGCAGGAAAAGCCGCGTTTCCAGTTGATTCGTCGATTGCTCCGGCACTTTCTCCGCGAAATCCACGAACAGCTGTGCAAGGTTTCACAGTAGAGAGGAGAGGAGAGGAGAGTTCGCGAAACTTTGAGACGGTGGTCGGTCCGGTTTTCAAGTTCACGAACGGCCGGGGTCCGAACCGGAAGAGACGCCGCCGGGTTCGGACCTGCCAGTGAAAGTCCATTGGTTCGACGACAACCACGACGAAGGGGGACGTCGATGCACAGTAACCTCATACTCTGCTCGATCTTAACACGTTACCAATATAATTGAATTGCAATTCAACAGATGCTTACGATTTTTAAAAAAATTTCTAGAGAAATTGGTAGAGAATCCTGTGCAATATTGAAAAATGATTCACTATACAATATGTAGCAAGAATTCAAGGACTCTGAGTTTAAGAATTTCTTGTGGTGAATGGAAAACAGTAAAAGAGGCTTTCTCAGGTATACTAATTCAAATATATTTGTTTAAAATAAAAATAGAAGAATGTCAGTATGGTAAATTAAACATATTCGCAATCTGAATTCGAGAATTTTTATTACACACTGTACTATGGAAGAAAATTTTTAAGAATACTAGGTATTACATACATGAGTGCAAAAGTTTTGTTGATTTCTGCATCATCTATCAACAGCTTTGTTTTTGTAAATGAATTATGGCAAGTGAAAATTTACAATAATTTTATATTATACAATAACTTCAGAAGTTCTACTTTAACCCTACATTAGTTTAGTGAATTGTTCCTTACCATTACACAGTGTTCCGAGAACAAAAATGTTTTTGAAATTTTTTAAATTAATTATATATTGTTAATTAAAACAGGTACTTATACAATATAAAAAAAATATTACATATTTGGTTCTTAGAGTAAATCCGAATCGGTCTCAGAACATGAATCAGTGTTTGTATCTGACGATTATATACACAATTCGGTTGAAGATGAATCATTTACTATTTAACACATTGTCAACTGACGTGGTATCTACCATTTTCTACAGTATTATTTATATGCTATATTTATGAATTTTGTTCCGTAACATTGTTGATGCAACGAACCATTGTTATCAATTTTTCTAGACTTCATTTTAGCAATCTTAGACTTCTGTTCAATTACAATTAGTTCGGTTGGTAATGTGTTAAACAATTTTTAATGTCCTTATATTCTTCTGTTTTTGTATATATTATAAAAAAAAGCAGATGTTTAGACTAATGTGAACATGTTAATAACGATTTCGATAATTCTGTCCACCTTGGGCAAAGTTGGGTAGTTAAATTCGACATCAACGTGAAGTTTAATGTGTCCTAAATAAATATACAAAAAATCATGGAGGTATAATATTTTTCTTAAAAGTTTGATAAACTTTTGAATAAAAAGATAGGGTACTGTTGATTACCGTTATTTACACTTGACGTATCGACGATAAAAACAAGACACCCCTGAACTTTCTTGCTCTTTCCTACTCATTTTCCATTGGACAGGGATTACTTTCCAACCTTTTTTCCATGTTCCTTAAGCCCTTGCCTTATACAATGACGAGTCACATTCGTGGCGCAGATTATGGTGAAGATGTATATCGACGACAAAAACAAGACAGCCCTGAACTTTCTTGCTCTTTCCTACTCATTTTCCATTGGACAGGGATTATTTTCCAACCTTTTTTCCATGTTCCTTAAGCCCTTGCCTTATACAATGACAAGTCACATTCGTGGCGCAGATTATGGTGAAGATGTGACAAAAGAAGAACTGTATTTCTGTTAAATTTATATTTTTACTAAATACTTCAACTTCAATTTAAGACTGACAATTACCAAATACGAATTCTATATAATATCTCGATTTCTTTTTTTATTTAACCCTCTATAACAGTGAATAACCGAAACTAACATGCACTACCGGCCAAAAGTTTGGAATCACCAGCCAAAATACATCAATATTAAATCTGCTACTAATTGTTTGTAGATTTGAAATTGATCTTATGGAGATTAACCCCTTAACCTATGATTTCTTTTCTGACTGTGCGTCAGCCATTTTAGTGCTGTATCGGGTGATAAAAGTTAATCTGTTACAGATTAATCATATTTTGTAATTTTCACGAAGTCTTACGAATTCAAACGAAAGTTAGGATTACAATGAATTTTTCTTACCGATATAACTATTTTTCTCGCATCTCTGCCACGAGTCTGACACGTTGTTATAGGTTAAAGGGTTAATAGTAATTTACCTCATTTCGATTGAGTTGAATGATAAAAAATTCTTTAAAAAGTTTTCAAAATTGCTAACTGTGTTCTAGAAATTTTTGTGTAATCTGCAATGCACAGTGATCTCAAGGGTTAAGGGCGAAGGGTTAAGACACCTTTCGACGGACGAACATGTATAAAAGGAACAGGACAGTTAGAATTTAATCTTTTACGGTCCTATGTCGAACCAAACTCGAATTTTTGCCTTCAGATATCGTACAATGATAAATTATAAATTATAAACGACAGTAAACCAACTTTTTATGCATTAATATTACACTGAAACTTAATATTTCATGACTAATATTACGCTGAAACATTGAAATAAAGACAAACTACACGGTACTGCCTGACAGTTGTTAAATGAGTGCGGACTAACTGGACTATTCAGACCGCAAAGGGTTAAGATTATTATTACTGTACATTGTTATTATTTCTACTGCACTCTGGACATCACGGTGACACATTTATCGAACATTCGGACATCACTTGTGTATACTATTTAGAATTCTAACAAAATAACTCTAGTGATCCTCGCCAGGATATACTTTGATACATGCAAGCAGACCTTAAAAATAACCTTCCCTCGCGATCATTCATAAACCGTGCTAAAGAAGAGTTAACATTAATCGTATAATCATGTAAAGAAAACTTGGTTCACTTAAATTACATAGAATTTTATATCTTTTAAGATTCGCGTTACCCGTCTATTTTCATCATGATTGATGATGATAGATTCTCGAAAGGTAGAAGAGAAATTTAG